GCTCATTTGGGTGTGGGAGACTCACGAAAAGAGACGAGAAATCAGTTCCAGTTTCACTGAAGCTTTTCACACAGTGTGGGAAGAAATATGTCCATAGCACTGATAAAGTTGGTGTGACATTTCAAATAATCATTGATTGATCAATTTTAATGCCTCATGTGTAAAGGACCTGGTCACTGTAGCATACTCAAAAAATCCTCAGTTTCACCAGACCCTCGAAGATATCTGTCGCTATTTCACTTTCAAGAATGCCATTTTCGTGAAAACGACTGTGAAAGTATTACATACTTCATTAACATATTAAAATATTTAATTATGAGCAGATGGTATAAGCTCTATTCTGCCACTTTTGTCGTTCCCGAAAATCCATAGCGCAGTCATTTTCTAAAACTTTGATACCATCGACAATGCGTAGCTAAAATCTCAGCTCCCATCAGATTATTACTCTTTTGCGTAACAGAAATTAGAAGAGACTATTATCGAGTCACTGGGCCACTTGAGCTATGTCATACATGAGAGTTCGTCAAGTTCGTCTGGGCGTAACATTATGATTCAAGCGGACAGAAAACTTATGGTAAACATATCAAAGCCTTTTGCATAATTCCACTGGGTTTTGCTTAAATAACAACTAAAACAAATTTTTGCTTGGGTTTTGCTTGATAACAACTACACCGAACAGGTACTGACACGAGCTCACGTGACATTAGCAAGTCATGGTTTCCCGGTCTTCATTGTTATTTTTCTCTTTTAGAGTTATCTTTTCTCAAGCTACTGAGACCACATCTTGGGTAAACGTAACTTTGTCAGATTAACAATTTAACGAATCCTTTTATATGGCTTCCATAGATTCTCCGAGAAGTTAAATATAATCCAGAGTTTAGTCATCAGGCTCGGCCACAATTTTGGACGAGGATCGAAGAGCTGACATCGCCTGACATGACCTTTACAATTATAGGATTATTTCTGAGAAACTTACAACGTTTCTAGAGAAGATAAACCTTCAAATATTCTAGATTCCACTTGAAAAATTTTGTTATGGCTTAAATCTCTGAAATAAAAAGGAGAGATTGGCACATCAATTCATATATTTTATATTTGGCATGATTAAGTTGAATTTTGTGTATGAGGACGCTTTGCGATCTATTTCTTATGGAGAATGAATCTTTTTTATCGCTTTTGAAACTTTAAATACCTGAAGCAAACTTTGTTGACTTACAACAACAACAATAGCATTGACTTTATTTTTTAAAATTAAAGAAATAAAGGCCTTTGTAGCCCGCAGTTAGCAAAGTTATTCTAGGCGGGCTACCTAAACAGACACTGTATAGGCTCTCACACATACACACACACACACACACGCACACACAGACACACACACTCACATACACACACACAGACACACATACACACACATACACACACATACACACACATACACACACATAGACACACACACACAGACACGCGACAATTAAATAAATAAATAAATAAATGAGCAAATAAAAATAAATAATAAATAATAGTAGTGATAATCATGTTAAAGGTTTTAACTGAGCCAGTCACACAAGGGAGTTACATGTAGGTAAGAGATGACAGTGAGTTAAAATCCCCGTTCTTCAGGCGTGTAATTTTGCTGCCAGCAAACAAACTGGAGGAGAGTAAGAAATTTTTTACACTTCAATACAATCATGGTTTTATTGGGCAGGTGTCTTCGTCGAGAGCGTTGGGAAGAAAAATCCTGTTCGCCATCTGAAGGACTGGTCCCTTTTCGTACGAATCCTTTCTGGGGACACGCCCCCTAAATATCTTACCAAAAGAAGTTTAAACACACTTACACTCTCAGGATCTTTAAGAGTAATTAGAAAAAAAACAACTAGCAGTCTGGTCTTCTTGGTACTGTTTATACAAGCCCCCGTTTAAACTGAGTCAGCCTTTCTAATTATCGCAAATAGATGAATAGCTAAATAAATACATAAAGAACAAGCTTCAAAAGAAGTAAGAAAAAAAAATCGAAAATCAGCATCGATTTATTTTGAGACTTCGGTTTGCTCTGAAAATAATCAAAAGGACATTTTTCACCTTAAAAAAATTTGATTCATATTTATGTTCTAATGATCGCGAGAATAAAGTGCATATGCACCAATGGAAGTCACAATAAAACTATCGGCTTGAGGGTTTACCATATTCTCTTCCTTAAAGAGCTTAGCTAGCGCGCAGTGCGCGCTTGAGCTCCGCTATGTGTGCTAACGATTTTGTTGTTGCTGTTGTTGTTGTTGTTGTTGTTTATTTCCCAAACAGTGTGTAGCAAGTTCATTTCCTGAACTACTAAGCTGTGCGACGGAGTTTGTTATTTTGTTACCTTGCAAACCACATCGATGTTTGAGACAGTCAACGGATGCTTTTTTAAACAATTGTCCATACTGCATGAATTATGTCCGGCTGGGATATAACAGAATTCATTTACCTAAGGCTGGAAGGGTAGCTATCGGTACTTTTATTAAAAGCATGTCTTGGCAAAACAACTTGAAAAGGAAAAGCATTTATCAACATAAAAAAGTACTTATCAAACCATTTCATATTTCACCTAGCTGGAATTACGCTTGACATTCTAAGGTTTGACTAGGAATTTATTTTTGCCTTAAATAATCTCTACCCCATAATGTATTGTGACCTTGCTAACAATGCTAGCAGAGAAAACCAATTATCGCTAATTGACATTTGCCGCTAATCTTCATTCGAGGTTATTCATGCGTCGCTAGGTAAGTTATATTCTACGTAGATTATCGACCAAGAAAGAAAAGAGATAGGTTGAGGTCCGTTAAATCTTTATTTTTTTTTTTAACGAAAGTCAATGCTCGTGAAGTCACCCTTATCCCAATTTTCTGTAGGGAGAAAAATTAAATATGCAGAGAGATTGTCTAACACTCATTGTGCTGTAGGACGCTTATTCAGGCTGATTTTAAGTTGTCAAGGGAAGATGTAGTACACGTTTTCCAGACAGGAAGACCTAGAAAACGTAAACTACAGCGTGCTTCCAAAGATTAAGGTTGAGAACCTGCCATGAACTGAATAACCATAGGTCAATTAAGAAATTGGACAAAACTATACAGGAAAAAAATTGTCGTATAACAAACTAGTGACAAGGAGCCCTTAATTTCTTCCCCTAAAAACTCTATGCTGCCGACTAATAAGCGCGAGAGGAACTGAGACGAGACTAGCTTAGAGCATTATTAAAGGCAGGACATGTAAAGTTTTCTTAAAGCTGGCAGGAATAAACAATGTGATTTGGCTGTACTTCACGCAGTAAAGGTTTTGAGTTTAATTTTTTAATTTTTTTTCTTTTTTTGCACTATCATTTTAGGACAAACGAAGGTTTTAGTAGTTCTTTGATAGAATTTTGGGTCGCTAATTTTTTTATATTTGCCAGTCTTTTAGATATAAATAGTGAAATTTCCCAAGCTATCCGTGTCCAATCATTTACTGAGAGAACTATTGCGTGATTAAAAAAATTGTGTTGTTTGGCGTTTTAAAAGTTCTATTGAAACACATGTAAACTAGTTATCAAGCGGATAATCAGACAACCGGACTCGTGTGCGCTTAGAAATAAGTAAGTTTTTTCCTCTTCCATTTGATTGAAAACGTCGGTGAAGCTCAACAAAGCAGCTGATAGAATAACCATGGTTTGCAATAAAACATGCGGGAATTATATTCCCGTTATGTTCCCGTTGGGGACAAATGGACCATTTCAGAGTTCTAGCAACCCTGCACACATTGAAAATAAGGCTAAGTGCAGAACCTTTCTAATTAATTGAGTTAGTCATACTCCTAGGACAATTAATAATCATTTCTATATCACAGGCTTCACAGTTGCCCTCGTTTAAAAGCAGGGGTTTTAGGTATCTAGCTTGGAAATGACCAATGATCTTTAAGACGTCAGAACCTGCAATTTCAACGAACTGTATCTTCATCTGAGTAAGTAAAATGAAAAAAGGAAAAGATAGGAGAATTGCCTGACTTCTAACGGGGGAATCGGATATTTTGACTCTTCTAAGCTAGCTAGGTAGGTAGATAAGTTTATTTCTCACATTTTCGCAGAAAATCTGAATTACAATGTTATTTAACAAATATATAAAATTACATGCGTGGATAGGGACTGGGCTACAATGGGTTTAGAAATACAAGATAATTAATTAAATAATTAAAAATTAACATTTAACTATGTGGGTATGCAAATATATATAAAAAGAAACTATTATTTGTTGAAGGCTAAAATAGTCCTTGGGAAAAAGCTGCGGCGCAGTCTTTCGGTCCTGCATTTAGTCACTGAAAAATTGCTAGCGTTCCTCAATTGATACTGATGCACTTGCTTTCTTTCTTTCGGGAGATGTTTAAAAAGTGGCCCTCCTCTTGAGATATATTCAAGAGTTTTAACACAGAGTTCACTTCGTCTTTCACTACGTGAAAGCTCGTATCGTAGCTCTCCTCAAACGCAGCCTCCACGATAATTCTTTCGTTACTTTATTAATGAAGAGATAGATACAAGCAGCACGGTCTATTCTAGTCCACTTTAGGTGCTTCGTTTGCGACCATATGGTTCTTTGTTTTCGCAGTGGTAAACACAGAAGGTTGTGCTTTCATAAAAAATTAGACTTGTACCGTACAGGTCTCAAACGCGAAATTCAGTGTCTCAGAATCGTAAATATTTTACAGTTGTCTGAGAGGTGATTTTTTCAGATAATGATATGACGCTGCATTTCCATAGATTTTTTTTTTGTCTAAATAAAAGCGGAGACATTTCGCCCATTAAATATTTACTTTACCCTACAAGTATTGGATTTTCCCCGTCAAATTTCTGGTGCGGCACTCTTGAAAATCAAACTTAGCTTCATGACAGAAGGGACACGTGAATAAATTATTTAAAGACCACAAGCAATTAGATGAACAAATCTACACACGAAAAATTATTGTTACTAATAATATTGTTCATTTTCCATATTTTCCTTTACCTTTACCTGTTTTGCGTCCTTCCTTCAAAAACCTAAATGGACGACAGAAATATTTAAATTTTGTGATGAGTCTAAAGAGCAAGTATGGTGCTGCACTGCCGAGGGGTATTGCAAGACAATTTGGTTTTATCAAGTAGTCCAGTGGATATGTAAATAAGCCACCGTAAAGATTTCCTAGTTTCGAGCGTTGTCCTCCGTCAGAGCAAATGGCGAAAGGCTAACGCTCGAAACGGGGCCGAATTACATTACCGACTTAGTTGATGGCACCAGTAATCTAAGCCTTATTTCGACAATCGTTTCCTAATGGTGGATATTTTCGTTTCCATCCGAACACTCCTCTCATTAGCAGATGTCCTTTGACTGCTGACAAATGATGGTATTTGTCTTAAGCCTTTTCTATACTTACTGTTGAAGATAAAACAAACACAAGGATTTACTGCGCTCCATGAATGTAACATAAAAGCAACCAAAAATGGAACAACCGTTTGATAAGTGCAAATGGGAGGCAATTGCATATCCCATAGGAAAATTTGAGCGAAGGAATCAACGAAAAGTGGAATCGTGCAAAAACTGAAAGAAACTATTATAGCCACCGACATTCGGACAATTTTTTTGTGTTGTTCATCCCGCGATTTGTGTCGAAAACCCAAATGCTGTTTATGTTTCTTGTTGTTTCTTCTGAGCTTCCATGCTATCGTGCCATACACCATAGCCAAGACTCCAATAGGAACGAGGATGAAAATGATGAAAGTCGCCGTGACAAATCTCTTATGTGTTTTCTTGTGGTCAAATGCCGGTCCCCAGTTAAGTTTACAAAGAGTTTTATTACCCTCTGGGATAAGTTTGTACGCATAGAAATAAGGTGCGTGGACCACAGTGGCGACAATCCATGTCCCTAAAACGCCAACAAGGCGCACTTTAGAAGAGACGAGCTTAGCTTTAAGTGGTAAAACTACAGCAATGAACCTGTCTACCGATATCAATAAGAGGCTTTCAATGGAAACGACCAGTGACACATCAATAAGAAAATAGGAAAGTTTGCATAATAGGTTTCCCACCAGCCACGGTCTGACAACCTTCCAGGAGCCTGATGTTGAGATGATCTGAACAAGTCTGATGGGCATGATAGTAAATGGGTTTAATAAGTCCGACACAGCCATGTTGAAAACGAGATAGTGGATTGACTTTCGGGATTGCTTGTTCTTTGCAATAGACAGGATAAGGATTGCATTTCCAACCAAAGAGACAACGAGGATGATAGTATAAGCCGAGGCCTTGGCCACCATTTCTACAGAAGATTCACTCGGAGGACAAGTTGGATTAGTAATGTTTGAAGCGACATACCTTGGATATGAAATGTTCTTGACGAAGGACTCCATTAGAGAAAATTTGCTTAAATTGTTTGCTGTTCAAGTTGATTTTCCAACATCTATTGACCAATGTTGCCTCTTCAACATTTTCAGAAACTGAGCTGTTTTATTAGCGAAAATAAAAGTGGGAAATTTACATGTATAAAGAGCTCGATTGGTTAAATTGTCAGATAATATTTACTGAATGCTTTCATTAGCCAATCGTCTACGCGGATGTTAAATAGTAAACATTTCCTGTATCTGACATACATGAGAAACTGTTCAATCTCGTTTAATTAAGAGAGGTAAAGGAAAACTTGGCAGTTTGGCTCTTAAAGAAAACACCTGAGTGGAGGAAAGCAAAAAGCTTTTAATTTTGAATATTGTATAGAAAGGGCGCAATATAAATAAGGAATTCATTCATTCATTCATTCATTCAATTCTCCGGAACAATTATTATCGCGTTTCACATAATTTCTAAGAATCAATTTCCAACAAAATACTGGTAAATTTTTAAACGGATGGTTTTTTTCATTTCCATCTTATCATTGAATTGTTTTGGTGGAAAAAATATATCAAATATTAAAGTGATGGCGACTCTGACAAACAGGAATTCTTCCCTCGTCGTCTTAAAGCGTCTTAATGGACTAACCTGACATATGTGAAATCTCAACTCAATGTAACGTAGAATTCTCGCCCACTCTCCGTTTCAATCAAAATTGAACTGTTGATGCTTCCCGTCCACCTGCCCATTCCTAAATCAGCAAGTCAAAAAAGTATAGAAAGCATGCTGTGAAGATTTATTGTAATATTCTTCAATCTTATCTTCATTACATGTAAATGTGAAAACTTCACAGTCGCCCGAATTCCTTTTGTATCTTAATACCTTTTGTAACACGTCTTTGGCTGGTAAAAATAATGTCGTGTTATAATGGCTTTAACATGCATAAAATGCTATCCTATACTTCCTACAATAAAACCCTAAGTGTCTCGGAAACGACGTAAAAATGGAATAAATAAATAAAAGTGAAGGTCAAGTTTCCTTTCCAAGAAAAATAGGTTTTCAAGTCTGAAAATAATCATCATTCGTTCTTCCTTTTTTTTTTTTTTTTCCATTTCATCTCGAGCTTTGATGCTCGGAATCTAAAATCTCCATCTTCCTACTTTTGGCCTTTCAAAGACAATCTACTTGTCTTCCAGAAAAGCACCATCCTGGCTCTGGAAAAAGAAGGGATTTTTGTTTTTGTCTACCCCAATGCTACGAAAAAAAAAAAAACAAGAAAAGACTCCTTCGATTCATCACATTTTTGTTGTTCTAATTCTGGTAAATGAAACATGAAAGTTCAGCGATTCGATAACTCTAGTATGTTTTCTTGTACTCTCCATTAATTTCAAAATGGCACATGTAATTCTATGCCTTTATGCTGGCATGTTTCAATTTGTTATCAGCCATTACGCCATTTTCTTCCAAAAGAGAGACTTTACTTTCTTTTATTTTTTAATTACACAGATACTGAAGCAATAACTTCTTCCCATCCTCGGAGTTGATGAATGTGTGGTCGTCAGGAAGCGGCTGTAACCACAAATGAGCTGGCAACATTAAGATATGAATCAATCAAAAATAAAGAATCAACATCTGTTCGCTTAAGGTTACTTACCACCTTCGCGGGTGTCATTCGAGAACGAATACGTTCAAGATAACCCTAAAAAACTGAAAGGTAAGAAAGGAAAATTCCTCTTGGAACCCCCTCTAGAGCACCGAAGAAGTCCACACACATGCGAAGTTCCATAACAATTACAAAACGCACAAAAACGAAGCATTGGAAGGTTAATTGGAATATTTCAAGCCAATGAAAAAAAAAACACAAAAGTTGGTTAACAAAACAGCAATAAAAGAAAAAGGCGTCGCAGGTGAATACATCTACATAACCGCTTCCCTTAGATTTTTTTAGGATTTAGCATCTGTAATTTTGCTCCAAAATTTATAACGCTCTAGTTACAATTTTTCTTTGGTGCTCAACTTTGTCAAAAATGTTTACCTTGCGAAGAGATCACACTATTTACATGCACATGTGAAGATAACGATGTCGTTTCCGGGTTTATCAGCTCGGTGGTTTTTCTATTTATCTACAGCAGGATTGTGGGAGCAGTCACACTACAAGATATGTTCTCATTCCCCTTCGACTCCATGACTGCTCCGAAAATTAGCCAGGTACTTTAAAATAGCCTGACTCTGTAGCTGTTCACGAGCCTTTAGTCTAGGTGCAGGTGATCTTAGCATTGAAAATCTTCAAATGTATTGTAAGATTGTCGGTAATAGCCTATTGATATCTATATATTTACAAGAACACTGCAAGTCCGCTTGTTGATACAGCATGTTTGAAGAGTTTTATTTATGCGAAGAATAACAGTCCTATATCTAAGTTCACAAAACAACCAAGTGGACAATCAGACATAGTTTGAAGCTTCTCTGGTTTAAATTTTTATTGAATGATTAATGGTGAAATTAATATTTATAGACCCAACGTTTCGACACTTGTCTAGTGCCTTCATCAGGGATGATCTAATCGTTGCAATAGGAGTCCTTTTATATGCTCACTAATTGGCTGTCCTTTCTTCTGACCAGATGTAGATAAACATCAGGTAATAAGACGCCACCATCACGATTTAAAAGAGCGTGGGCAGAGTTGGACCTCTTTCCTGTTTCTAATACACTCTTAATTAATGACAGATTCCCCTTCCCCAGTCAACGTCGGCTAGAAGTTCATGGAATCACTATACAAATTTTTTTGGGGAGAAGGGGGCGAATAGGTTAATTCAACGAAGGAAAAAGAGATAAAACTGAGGTAATAAGGGGTTGAAAAGTTCAGTGTGTCAAAATTTTGTCGTCGATAATGACCCTATCAGAAATTTCTTAAAATGAAAGTTAAAGGGAAGTCTGTCTTAATATAACTAATATTGTATTATCTACTTCATGTATCCTTTCGACTGATTGAGCTTTAGTGTGGACACTACTCAGCACACCCTAATTAGGATCGATTCAGTAGTTATATTGCGACGTTACAGTCGAGTTGTTAGGCTCAAAAAGCTTTTAGCAACATGGTTTTTCAAGGGAAAATCTCTGAACAAACCTGTGCACTTGAGCGAATTGCACAATAGCATTAAGGCCAAGCATTAACAAATATCGCGAAGAAGTTTGGCCTCCACATTTCATAGGATTTTAAACGAGATAAACGAACAATAAGAAAAAAAAACGGAAAAGGGGCCAGTCAGCCAAGAAAGTTGAACAGGCACCAAGAACGTCACCAATTGAGGCAAGGGAGATAGTAATTTCATTGTTAAGAGACTAAGGAGAAGAGAAAATTTAAAAATGTCACAAGTTTCTTTGAAAACCATTCAGCACTTTTTTCATTCGATTTTTGTCGCCGATTGTAGATGCTCGTCACACGAAGAAAATATTGCTTTACTAGCCAATCAATAACAGGTGCATCAAGTTGATGATGATGATGACGATGATGAAAGAAAATGCATACGGGCATTTTTGTATGGTATAGAACGCGGATGGCCAGTGGCAACATGTAGATCGAGCTAAACAGCATGGCCTCATGATTGCATCATGACGTTTGCATTGCTTTTGAATGGTCACAAAATTCTTTCGACCAACCGTTTGGGGCAATTTCCTTGCGTCGATGGCCCTAGAAATAACCGAAACTTTAAATTCTACCGAAGAGGTGCTTCGAAAGCGATTTTGAAATCGACTCAGAGTGAGAATTGAAAGATTTTTTATCCGAAGAAGAGGAAATGATCGATGTGGGCTGTGATCAACGCATCGAATCAGCAGATGAGGGTATGCTCTATTCAATTGCTCGCGGCTTTCATTTTAAGTTAAGCTGAGAAAAATCAGACGCAGTTTAAACTAGACCTTAGTTAGAATTCTCATTGGCCTCAAAGCTTCGTATATTAAAGGAAAAAGTGAAAAACAACTGAGTAAATTAATCGTTTGACTTACAGCACTGTTGTAAGGCCAGATATTTTCTGTGGTATACTTTCCATGTATTCTGCCCCTTCCAACACGTAGTGCGGCGGTGGTCCCTTAGTCATGTAACACGTACAACCCACTGGACAATCTACGCAAAGAAAGTATATTAAATTATATGTCTCACCAAAACTGCTAAGGTTTTGTAGTCATTCAGATCTAAAATTAAAAATTCCCATCATGGCACCAGAGTCATAAAAAGCGAAATCAAAGAGATTATGGGCTGCGGCGTTTGGAACCTGACGAGCTATTTACGGAAACCTTTTCCTTTTTCCGATTTTAATTTTTCCCTCTTTTACTGGATATAGAAAAAAGGTAACACCCTTGTTTAAAAAAGGCGATGAATTCAACAAGACCAACCATAGGCCCGTTACAGTCCTTACAGTTCTCAAAAATGTGTACGAAAGGCTGTTGATGATACAAATGAAAGACTTTTATCGCGCCATCTTATCTGATTTCATCAGTTCTTATAGAAAGTTCTATAGTTGTGAGACAGCCCTATTACGTCTGACAGAGGATTGGAGGAGCATGCGCGATAGGGGAGAATTGGTTGGTGTGGTGTCCATGGATCTTTCTAAAGCGTTTGATTTTATACAGCACGACTCACTGTTGGAGAAAACTCAAGGCTTGGTGAGAAAAGCTGCGCGCTTCTAAAGGATTATCTAACTGGAAGACAGCAGAGAGTAAGAATTGAAGATACGTACTTCAGGTGGCAGAGCATAGGCCGAGGTGTTCCTCAGGGGAGTGTCCCAGAACCAATGCTCTTGAATGTCTTCGTTAAATATTTGTTTCATTATGTTACGCAAGCCAAGCTGAATGTATATGGTGATGACCACCAAGTGTACTACTCAAACACTGATCCAGTTATATTGGAAAATCTATTTGTAGTGAAGTAGCTAAGGCAAATAAATGGTACAAAAATAACGCTATGAAAGTTAACGTAACTAAACACCAAGTGCTTACTTTGGGAAAAACTGATCA